ATAAATAAATAAATAAATAAATAAATAAATAAATAAATAAATAAATAAATAAATAAATAAATAAATAAATAAATAAAGCTTAATAAAAAATTAAAACAAAAATAAAACATAAATGCGAATAGAATATTTAAGGCCATGCAAATTAATGAATTGATTTTCATAATCAGGCCGGTAAAAAATAATTTTATGTTTTAATAACCGGGTGGGCTTTTAAAAAATTTTATAAAAATTTTTGAAAGTTTTATATACGAAATTTAAAAAAAAAAAAAAGCCGACCGGCCGGGTCTATTTAAAAGTTTCATGTTATGAAAATCAATATATTAAATTTGTGTGGCCTAATTAGTAAAATTTTAAGGGATGAGTTAAATAAAAATGTTTATATTAAGCATGGACATTTAGACGTGCCTAACTGCTAGTTCCTGCTAGTTCCTGCTAGCTCTGTGGTTTGTAAAGATAAATCGTAAGCAGCTTCAAATTTTAGATTTCAAGCTTTAATTCCATCATATTGATAACGTTTTTGCCATTCTTTCTTTTCTCCAAGAAAATATAGGATTATTATAAATTTCGGCATATTTGCCTAATGCCCAAATAGTAAAAATATATTTATAATTTGGGTATCTAACTGCACAATTCTTATTAAATGTTCCTTCTATAGCCTCTTGCTTCCATTCACCTGTTGGCAATTGTCGTGATGCGATAAGCTACAAAAAATGCGATTTTGATAAAGATATAGTTACTCATTTAATTAGCTAACAAAAATAAAAACATACAACAATTTTTGTAGCATAAAATTAATTGATATATACCTGAATACCACGTCTAATTGGTTCCTCATTTGGATATTTGCCTGCCATTAAAGCAAGCACTGCCCAAGCAGTATTTACAACTTGTGAGTTTTCATGGTGTATATAAGTCATTGCCTCACATGTCTATTTATAAAGCAAATAATGAATAATCTTGAATATAATAAATAGAATAAAAACTTTAAATACAATGATATAAACCTTATAGGATTCGCCCCAACCACCATCATCCTTCTGTTTAGAAATTAAGAAGTCGCATCCTTTTTTAATTACTTCGCTAATTGATAAAATTATTTAGTCATGATTAATTTTCCATAATGCAAGATTAATTAATGCATTTAAGAAATATATATGATACCTATTTTCATATGTTTCACCAAATATTTCAAGACATTGCATAACAAACATAGCTGCATATGTATAACAAATACCCCAAGAACCATACCAGCCACCATTTTCATCTTGAACATTATGTAAGTATGTAATTGCTTTTTTAGAAACTTGCCTGGTATCAAAAAGAAATTTAATATGTAAAACAATATAAGTTTAATAACATTTATAAAAAAAAAACAAGGCGAAAAAGTGGCTCCTTATGTTTTAAATTATTACCTAATTTCAGCAGCCCTATAATCAGGATACCATTTCTGGAAAGTATTTAGAGCTGTTACGACACTACATGTACATTCTGGATAACTATATTCAATCATAATATTTCCAAAAATTTCCGCAGGATTTAACCATTCAAGAAATTTAGGACCTCTAGTGCGCTCATAAGATGCAAATCCTCCATCGACACCTTGATTAGATAATAATAGATCAACAGCTTGACAAAGTCGTTCTTTAGATATTAAATCCGGTGTGTAACTAATTTTTTTTATCAAAAATCAAAAATAAACATACTTTTTAATGATATATTTCAAACATCAAATTTTCACTTAGAAAATATACCCAAGTTTTTTTTGAAGATTAAGTACGGCTTCGAGACTTGTACCAGTACAATCTGTAACAAAATATCCCTGTTGACGAGTACTAAAAGCCCAAGCACCTAATGTGTTATCACGATAACATCTTTCAGGATCTTTAGGATTCTTTTTTATTTGTGCATCGTCTAAAAATTCGAGTGCATTTATCATTGATTGATGATTTGAGGGATCATCAGCTAGTCCTATTAAAGAGAATAAGTTCTGAAGTTAAAATAATTGAACATCTGAATTTAATAAAGACGAATTACTACCTGCTTCATTTACGGCAATGGCTGTAAACGCAGTATCCCAAACCTGAGCACCATCCGAACCAGCCATTAACATTCCTTCTGGGGCTAACCTAAACGAAATAATAAACTTTAATATTAATTTGAGAAATAAGTTTTTGAAATAAATTAAAGGAATTAAGATTTTCATGCCACATAAAATCATTTATTCTTTCTTTAGCAAGCTTGAATGATTCAGAATCTGGCCCCTCTTCGTGATATATACAAATAACATGCATTATTTTGTTAACCTAATAATTTAAAAAAATTTCAATATTGAGTATTATGAGTCAAATAAAATAAATAAAAATTAAAAAGATATAAAATCTTATGTTTACAGCTGCAACACCAATATAATCCGTATTTTCATCTTCATATTTAATTAATTCATAACTCTCTTGAATAGCAACTTCTCGGAGTCCAAGAAAATAAGGAGATTTTTCATAAATATTTAATATAACTAAAATAACAATATATTAGAACTTCAATAATAATTGCTAAAGAACAAATTATAAAAAGTTAAATATACAATTGCAAAATTTTAATAGTTTGCTATGCGGAGTATAGAGGTCAACTTCTGCAATATTATTTCGGGCTCTAGACCAATTAATTGTATCAAATGGTTGAACATATAATTCCTGTCTAAGTTGCTCGATTAATGGAGTAACTTCGGCAGTTAATCTAAGTCCATAAATGTATCCCATTGGGAGATACACTGCACGAGTATGAATCCAAAAACGACTTGGATGAAACGGTACAAAGTGTGGAAGAAGCCTTTTTTCATTTATTAAAAAAAGTAAGAATGTAATCGTAATAAAAAAAAAAAAATTCAAAAGAAAATCACCATAGTTCTGGTGTAATTGGATTAAGCCCCTCCCAGTCATATACATTTAAACATGCAAGCCAAAATTTTCCCCATGTAGGCGCACAAATTGCACCTCCTATTAAGTCACCGAAATTTTGCAAATAATTAATATGAGAGTGGTAGTGAATTCTTGTAAGGATAGTAAATAAACATTAAACCTCTTACCAAGTTTGTGCAAAGTTATTCTACTTTTTATCATTACCGGATGATCAGGATCAAGACCTAATATACGAAGCACAACATAATTCAAAGCAGTTCCAAATACCGTTGAATGATGTTCAATGTGCCTAAACCAATTTCAAAGTTGTGACATGTTCAACCTAACATAATTTAAAACAGCTATCAAAGAACATGGAAGACTTACAATCCCCATCCACCGTCAACAGGATTTGCTTTATTTACCAAATATCGAATAATTTCGATTCTCCAGGCTTCTGGGATAGGAATATGCGTAATATACATTGTGATAATAAGTCCCGGTAATAAAAACATTGGCCCCTCACATGCTCCTGACCAATGTCCATCAGAGGCTTGTAATTGTTTATAAAATTCGAACCCATTCTGGGCAGCTTCAAAAGCTGTTCTTGGCTTTGCCAATGTTTTCGATTCCTTTTTTATATTCACATTAATTTTTAAATTGAGATTAGAAATGGTATTAATGAAAATTTTTTTTTTCAACTACTATCCAGGTATAACTTATTTGATTTCACATCTTTTTTTTTTTAAAAAAAAAAACTTACTAAAGGTAATCCAATCCAATACTTTTCAATGATAGATTGGGGCCAATTTTTAACTTCTTCATCATCATCTATATAATGCCATGTCTGTCTACCATGTTTAACTTTTAGTCGCCATTTACTTAAGTCAGTACTTCTTATATAACTATTAACTATTTGTTTTGTTCCAGGCGAATGCATTGTTAAAGGATTCGAATTTTTTAAGTTATGTTGATGTGAAAATTTGATCCCATATATTTAAATTGAAATCATATGTGTAAATTTTGCCGATTCGTATTAAACTTTAATATAGGAGAACCGATTAGTATTAGATCAGAATAACAGGAGGAAACGTCCAAATATAGATATGATTTTCATTCTCCGTTACACAGATCACTCATTGTATTGACCAGTC